CTGATATCTCAAATTCTAGGAGAGTTGGTATAAATTCCATATTTTTTTCGAAATCACTCTGAAAAACTGCCATGAGAATGTGAAATTCCTATTTGAATATTTTCATAAATAAAGAAGTTACAGAGGAGACATGAAAATGCTCAAAATCTGTTTTTTGTGTATAAAACAAAAACGAATAGATTTCATCAAAATATTTTTTCACATTATAGTTGGCCTTGACAAACTTCACATTTGGTGTCATTTAACCGACCTCGCATCTCTCACCGTTAAAAAGATACCCATGGTGAGCATGGTAAGTGGGACACACTGTATAAGGTCATTGAGAAACATAAAATCTCAAAGACTGAGAGAATCAGTGAATTTTCTTGTATCGGTCGTCAGCTGATGCAAGACATACTGTTTCGGCTTGCCAAACCTCATCTGTTGCACTAGGTCAGCTGACAATAAATTCACAAAGGGTACTTCAATATATTATGCTATAAAGCATAGTATGAATGGCGAAGAACGTTGATGTAGCAATTAAGTGACGAAAAGTGCAAAGATGTATAAATGGGTTGTTTAAAAACACCATATCGTGCGAATAAGTCGTACCCAAACCCCTACGTTTGTGCTACAGATAGAGAAAATCAAAATGTCTCAACCCAGCAAACTATTGCAACACCTGGAAATTTTAGAGTAGTTTAGTATCCCACTGAAAAGTGTTGAGAAACCTAGAATCTGAACACTAAGATAAAAGAAATTCTAGGAGATTTTCGTGAATCGATTGTTAGACATTTGGCTCACAAGTTATGCAAATATTCAACACTCAAAGCGAGTAATAACTGAATGATGAAATGAACAGAAGCACAGGTGTCTACAAAATTTTTACCTTACTCATCTCGACAGACTTTTCAAAGGACTTGTGGACTTCCTGTAAAAATACTGTTTCTGGACTTATTTCATGAAATACTACTCCGAGATTTTACCTATTAACTTAATCTCATACTTCGAGAAAAATCAACTTTTCGCTAAGGAACAATTCGGTTATCGCAATAAAAGATCCACAGCAACGGCCTTGAAACACATTTTGGAAAAAATACTTGAGGCCATTGATGAAAACAAACTTTCCTGTGCTACAATGTTAGATCTATCGAAGGCATTTGATTGTGTTACGCATGACCATCTTTTGAATAAGTTGGATTATTATGGAATAAGAGGTTCTGCACTCAAATTGATGGCCTTCTATTTAGATAGTCGACAGCAACCAGATGTCCTACCTTCTGGTGAGCAATCAGACTATCTATCTATTAAGATTGGTGTCCCTCAAGGATCCATATTGGGACCAATATTTTTTATTATTTCCATCAACGACCTTCCAAATTATGTGAATCCTCATGCAATGATGTTATATGCCGATGATACTACGGTTCTGAATACTGGTCGGGATATAAATACATTGTGTTCTTGAAAACTGGGAAACCGCAACAAAATCGTCTGAATGGTTTTCAGCAAATAATTTAAAACTCAATACAGGAAAAACCAATGAAATATTATTTTTCAATCATGAACAACAAAGAAGTGTCAAATTATTTGGCATCCACATTGATGCAACATTGAACTGGAGAGATCACATCGACTATACAGCAGCGAAATTGAATAAAGTAGTATACCAAATTAGAAAACTAATGGAATTCACCACTGTGGATACTGCACTAACATATTATTATAGTAACTCCTATGCCATTTTTTCTTATGGACTTATATTTTGGGGATACTCCGTGGGCAGTGACAGAATTTTCAAACTAAAAAAAAAAGTCGTGAGAGTATTGGAGAACGCTGGTTACCGAGATCAGTTGAATATTCTAACTTTACCTTCGGCTTTTATCTTACGATGTGTCATGTTTGTAAAGGAAAATGAGAACTCTTCATCTTCGAATTCATCCTACCATGATTATGATACTCAGAACTACAGATCCTTGAGTATGCCCTACCACCGCCTTAAAAAAACGCAACAGCCAATTAATTATACATCTCTCAAGCTTTTTAACAAATTGCCGATTGTACTGAAGAATGCACCGATCAAAAAATTCAAAGCAGGAATTGTGAAAATTTTACTGAACAATGCCTCCTATTCACATGATGAATTTCTTGAGTTCTCCTTTTACGAGACACCATTGTGATTTTTATAAAAAAAATTTGAATTGTCAAGTCTTATATTTTACTTTTTGAAAACGTTTCATGCACACATATATGTATCTCATTTTTATTTTAAATTGTGATCGTTTCATATTTTCTGTACATACATGACATCCTAAAATGTATTGTAAACATAAATGGGGCTAATAAATTATTATTATTATTGTTATTATTATGAGATCCCCTTGTTTTCGGTTGAAAAATGGATACCCTGTATATAATTTTCAATTTTTTCACAGAGTAGTTTAAATGGGCACAAGAACATCATTGGATATGTAGACTCCAGTATCACATCTACCGGAGGAGGAGTCTATGAGGTATTGTTGTTGATGCCCTACTGTCAAGAAAATGTATTCGGTTTGATGAAGTCTCGAGGAAAGGCAAACTTTCTGGAAAGTGAAGTATTGACGATATTCTGTGATATTTGTGAGGCAGTGTCACGACTACATCATTGTAAGACCCCTATAATTCATCGTGATTTGAAAGTAAGTGTCTTATTCATTTATTTTTCTCAAAAGCCCAAATTTTTTGTTGTATTCCCCTTATTTAATTACTGATCGGACAATAAGTCCCCCCACTTCCCTTATCCTCTGAACACGGTCAGCTAATATTTAGGTGAAAAGGTACTTATTCTACTACTTTTTGGCATAAAAAATAATTACTAATATAATCCAAACTTGATATGTTTTGTACAAACGTACAAACGTACAAACATACAAACATATATGCATCTAATAAAAGCGTGGTAATAATGGACATCCAATTTCGTATAAATGGAATTGAACGTAGAATCACATAGTCACATAGATGAATATTACATCATTATAACACTAATGGCTTCAACCCAATTGGAGAATAATCCCTAATCTTTATTTTCTGTACGATAAAAGAACCTGTGAAATTTTGTAGGTTGACAAATCTCGACTCGACGCTGTCATTCAGAATTATTATTATAATATGAATGGCTAACAATTATTGTTACATGAGAGCTGAAAATATTTAAATATAGCATGTTGATCTACAGAAATTAATTTTATTATAGTTGAGAAAACTTTTATTGAGGACCGGACCATTCAGTTACTCTGCTTAAATTTCATTGATATTGTTTTTCATAATAGTACTTTTGCAGTTGAATCTGAGAATAAAATATTATTCAAGATCTTCTTTCACTATCCACAAAACTTTGCGATAGCGTGTACATCTACCAGAGTGATCAATATTCACTCTCAATGTTTCAGGTAGAAAATATTCTTGTCAATGAAAATGGAAACTATGTATTGTGTGACTTTGGTTCGGCTACAGCCAGGGTACTGAATCCTTCAGAAAAGGGTGCTTCTGCAGTAGAGGAAGAGATCAAGCGATATACAACACTAAGTTATAGATCACCAGAAATGGTAGATATGTATTGTGGCAAACCAATTTCTACAAAGGCTGATATATGGGTGAGTTCTTTTCTATAAAGCTCATCATGTAACCCATTTGTTAAAAGTTTTCAACAATCTCATTTGAATAAAGTTCTGAAAGTTTGGAACTCTTGTCAAAATGTGCCAGAGATGTAGCACTTCTGGTTAAACTGAAAGTGGTCACAAGCATCCTTATTGCAAATGGAAAACCCTGTATTTCATTACCTGTTTAGAAACCTACATGTCATTTCGAAAAAAATCGTATATATCCCTATAGACATTTTCAAACGTTTTTGAATAATTACGATTTTTGTGAAAATGTTATACCTGTCATACCATACCAACCAATCAGATGCTTACTATGTTCCAGCAATTTTTTTGAAAATTTTCCATCCACATGAGCATGTAGATTAAAATTAAGAAGTGGACATTTTCTGGCACATGGCAGATATCATATAATTAGACAATATTGAAATAATATTGACAATATTATATATGCCGGAAGCATATTTACGTTTCCTATACAGCCAGCGCGATTGGTCGCTCTCACGAGATAGGGAATGGAGTGCATCCTGGAGCACTCCGTTTCCTAGCTGATATGCGCGACCAACGATAAACGACCATCGGCTGCTCTGTGGTGCATGGGTCAGGATTATTTACAGATTTTGTTTTCCACACTAATTTTCAGTCTGAAGAAAATACAATTTGACAATGAATCGGAAGTTTATTCATGCGGAATATTCAACTATACAAAAAATATAAACAAAATATATCGTCGAACCATTAGAAATGCTTTTCAGTTTCAGATTACTTTGTTTTTCTTACTGGTTATCAAGATCATGAAAGTAATCGAAAATAATTGTTAGTGTGCACTACCATGACTTACAGCGTTCGTGGTATTTTGTAGGATGTTTACTATTAATGAACGCTTTTTGCGAGGTCTCTTTTTCGAACTTATTCCGCTGATAGATGGCCGACCCGCTTGTATAGCTTTGGCACCTCTGTAAGCAGATGTTCTTCTAGCAATAGAGGTATGTTGAACATTAATGCTGTGAGACTTTTTCTGACCAGTTAACGAGGAACATAGAGCATAGAACGAAGCTTCGCTGTCCATTTTCTTCATCTGCCTATTGAACTTCGTCACAATAGGCAAAAGTGCTGGATGAGATTCCACGAAGCTGCTAATCTTTTTGAAGTTTTCTTTGAATTCTTTGAGTTCGACTGATCCATCAGTTTTAGGTTCGTTCACTTCAACCGAAAAATTATTTTCTTCATCAGGAGTCGTCTCATTAAGGCCATCTTCCGTTTCCAACATCATGGGTTCGCCAAAATCTACAGTAATTTCGTTATCTTTTTCTTTATCCATATCTTTGAAGAAGTTGGCACTACTGATAGTATTTCCAGTTGCTAACGTAGCAAGTTCTATTTAATATTAGGAACGTTGTGCATCGGCACACCAGTATCATATGCAGCGCACAGATGCTTGCAAAATTTCCCTCCTGCCCCTTCTGGACAGTCACACACTTCCAACTTTGTATGGTACAAAAGTGTCTCATCTGCAGCTGAAGTAACTGTAAACTGATCTTCAGACACTTTCACACCACGAAGATCAACCGATTTTTTGCAAAATTTCGTAAAATAAATTAACAATTTGTTATCCCTGGAGCTAGCATAACGCAACAATTTTTCTTTGTAGAAGTCTTCCAGTGATAATGAGATAAATTCTACTAAGGATACTGTGTTGAAAGCCTTACATCTTCGTAGTACCAAATCCTTAAATACTCTTATTGATACTTCTACTAAATTGTTCGTATTATGGCCCCTATTGCACAGTTTATTTCGAAAACAATGACACCAACCCTGTCTTCTCTGCCACATTTTGTCGAAATATCGTCTAACCTCTCGTCACCATTTCGAATGAATCGCGTTTGAACAGTCACTTCTGAATGTTTCGTTTTTTCAGGTATGACTTTATAACTAACAGAAAATGTATTAAATGCATTTTCTATCTGTTCGAGATTCATTTCGCTAAGGAATGAATATTCAATAGGTTATAAAGGGAGCACAGTTATTCGGCAACTAATTGCTCTTGGCATTCTAATGATGACAATAAACAATAACACGCGGGAATGCCGATGGTCGTTGGTCGCGCATATCAGCTAGGAAACGGAGTGCTCCAGGATGCACTCCATTCCCTATCTCGTGAGAGCGACCAATCGCGCTGGCTGTATAGGAAACGTAAATATGCTTCCCGGAAACCTAGTGAGAAAATTATATGAAATCAATTATTTGTATATAATAACGTATCTGATACTATAAATTCTATTTTACTAGGGTACAAGGAGAGTGAATATTCACTTAATGTTTTTTTTTTTAATACAATTCCAGTATAACATTTTCCTTCCGAATCCCCCACGTGCATCAATTAATTGCGGAAAATTTGTCTCGTACATGAATTTTTATAGAAAATTCATGTACTCAAAAATTTCTCGGTAAAATGTTCAGTTTGCAATAGTATCTTTAAAAATGATTATTTTCAAATTTTTCGAAATTGAATCATTCATATTTCCACTAGAGCTAGTATTCATGACCATCTTTGAAGTGAGATTAAGAAACTCACTAAAACTTATACAGTGTGGTGAAACATACATTGTCATTTTCAGGTTTTCGGAATTCCTTAGTCATAGTTTTCAAATAAATCTAACTGATATTTAGTATCTAACTCAGAGGTTTTCAAGTGAAAATTTAAATTGAATGATTGATAGCAATTAGCATTTGAATGGTAAAATAAAAAACTTTCTCAGTCATAACTTGAGATAGATTAAAAGTAGATTGGAGACAAACTATTAAAATGTAAGGCAAATGTTTTTCAAAATCCCTAATAATCTACTTACCTAACTGACTGCACTGAGAGGAATTGTATACTTGCCTTTTCTATATGAAGCAAACCCGAACTGTCACCAGATTACAATTTTTTTATGAAATAAATTTCATCAGAAGATCCATCTGAAATTTGAATCCAATTTTTATATCTTTTTTTTGCAGGCCCTTGGTTGCCTCCTGTATAAGTTATGCTTCTTCACCTTGCCATTTGGTGAGAGCACCCTGGCAATACAGAGTGGAAATTTCAACATTCCAGATAATTCCCATTATTCTAGAGATTTACATAAATTAATAAGTGAGGTTAAATATCTGGTCATATTGATTTTTTATTGATATAATTATTTTTAAGGATACATGTTAGAGCCTGATACAGACAAAAGGCCCGATATTTATCAAGTCAGTTGTATAGCGTTCCAATTACATGGCCGAGATAATCCTGTAAAGAATCTAATGGTAAGTTTTTTCAAGTATTTTTTTCTTTTGAGCAATGGAGATGGCAAGAATGATATTTAAAATCTAGCAAAGCTATATAGGATGTCCCTAAAAGGTCCTACCACATATTCCTCAATCCAAAAAAATGCAATACAAGCAAAGTTACCTTAGTACAAAGTTGTTGAGTTTGGACGCTAGACAACTCTGAAGTTACAATTTTCAAATTTTTTTCGCTTCATGACTCTGAAACGACTCAGGAGATTCAACTCAAATTTGGTATTAAAAAGTAATATTAACAGATAAATTATGAACATGAAAGAATGGATATATAAAGGGTGTTCCCTAATGACATGCTAATATTCAAGGGGGCTATACTTGGACCCATTTCAAGACTAAAACTTCATATGAACATATATCGTAAAATTACTAACTTTTGAGAGGGTATCAAAGTTGAACATATACATAGATTTTTTTTGTCCACCCTGTATAGCTTCTCCTGATGGTGAAATGTATTCTGCTTTGTGACTGAAACGGTACAAAAATTTCAAAATGTTACATAATGTGGTTATCCAGTAAAAGATACATCAGAATTGAAGTTTGATCTCGTTTTTTCGTTTTTTCTCGAATACGGAGTCTATCGGGTATCAAGAAGAGGATCTTTTTTGTACAACATTGAATGACTTTTAATAGCATTTTATTAAATTTGTAATCATTTCTTCGTTGCTCACTTTCAAGTATAATATAATCAATCATATTCCCCTAACGGCGCCACTGGTAGAGAAAAGGAAAATTTTAATAACATCAAAAAATGCACTTTGATGCATAAAAGATATATGTACCAAATTTCATAAAGATGCCAACAATATTATCCCAGTTATTATTAAAAAACTGTTTTTTATTTTGAAAACTTTTATCACCCTGTATCTCAAAAGTTAAGACTTTTAGGACATACGTTAGTGGGAAGTTTTTTCTTGAAATGAGCTAAAGAATCACTCCCTTGAATATTAGCATGTCTTTAAGGAACACCCTGTATATGAAGAAATACATTGAGAATTCACATTCCCCATGTGATGTGAATATCAATTCTTTCTCGGTTCATTCAACAGAAAACAACTACTCTCCTGTTTATGTGCCATGACAAAAATTGAATTATATCTATTTTACACACACGATAAGAATTTGAAAACAAAATATTCTGAAGTTGAGTATTTGCATTATCTTTCAGATAAAAGTATGTATATGCACATAATATCATTCTGAATATTCAGCAGAAAACAACTACTGTCCTGACTATTTGCCACGTCGGACATTAAATTATATCTGTTGAACATCCAAAACAAGAGCATGAAAAATAAAAATCTTGTGAAATTGAGAATGGACATTCTTTCTTAAATCTGATTAATAATATGATGCATTATGATATAAAAATTTAACTCACCAATATGTTCAGTATTGAAATGAAAATTGAAATGCATAGAAGTATACTTGTATAAACTCTGATCTCGATGAGCTAGGAACTTTCAAAAAAATCATTCGTATGGGAATAAATAAAGTCATATATCCTGTTCGTGAGGAGATGTAATTTCCATATCACTGATACAACTGATTTTTTTGGAAGTTCCATGCTCATCAAGATCATAGTTTATACAATTATACTCCTCCTATACATTTCAATTTCCATTTCAATACTGAACATATTGGTGAGTTATATTTTTATATCATAATACATCATGAAGCCAATCAATATCCTTCAAAACAAAGTTATTAAATGTATATACAAACTAGATTACTTGGAACCAACATGAAATCTTTATAAACCTAGGCAATTGTTAGATATTGACTCCATTTACAAATTCAAAATATTGAATTTCATCCATTCCGTCAAATATAATTATAAACATTCAAATCTGAATTTTGAAGTCAATAGTCATAAACACGAACACATAACCAGACAAAAAGATATGTTAACCCTCATCAAAATTGAATCAGATATGGGTAAAAGATCTATTTTATACAATGGAACAATTCTCTATAATGAATTACCTGCCAGACTAAAGAAAAAATCAAGTGTTGAGAAATTCAAAAAAGAACTGAAAAAATACTTATGTCTTTGATTCTCTTTATATCATCCTGAATCAATTCAAGAAATTATATTCAACAGTCTCTAGAAGAAACAACATTATATGTATTATGTATATGATTTAAAAATGATTATCTGATTATCTAATTTTTGTTTTTTTTTTTAGTTGCTCTTTCATAATTTTCCCTGCTATAAACATATATGTTTCTTGGGAATAATAAAGATAATAAATTCTGAATTTCAGAGGATTTTTATTCTTCATGCTCTCCTTTTGGATGTTTGACAGATATAATTCAATGTTCGACGTGGCAAGTAGCCAGGAAAGTAGTTGTTTTCTGTTGAATATTAGAATGATATTATGTGCATATACAGATGTGACCCACAAGGGTCACATCTGGGGCCGCTTCTATTCAATATTTTCATCAATGATTTGTCAGGTTGTTTTCATAACACAAAGCATACCCTCTTCGCGGATGACCTAAAAATCTACAAGAACATTGAAAGTCCCAGTGACTACTTAGATTTTCAATCAGATCTGTATAGATTCTCAGACTATTGCTCACGTAACCGACTCCATCTCAGCCTCTCGAAATGTTATCAGATTGTGCTTTCCCGTAGTAACAGACACATTATATACGACTTGAAATTGATAGACCAAATCATCGGAAGAACTAATAGTGTGAAGGATCTAGAAATAACCTTAGATAACAAATTAACTTTTGAGCAACACATCGAACAAATAACACAGAAGTCACTTAGGAACATAGGATTCATATTCAGGGTCACCAAATAATTCAATTGTTGGAAATCTGTTACTCTTCTGTTCAATGTGAAACCTATTATCGAATATTCATCTACATATTATATGAAATCCATTCTACAACTAATATATTGATACACTGGAAAATGTACAAAAAAATGCATAAATAGACTGAACTTTGGATTCAACAAGAACAGATACCATAAACTATATGAAAACAACTTGAAATTTTATGGGCTGGAAAATTTGGAATTGAGAAGAAAATTTTTTGATGTATGTTTCATATATAAATTATTCAATAATCTGTCAGTTTGCCCATACTGCTTAGAATTATGCTACTTCAATAGCTCGCAACACAACATGAGGAATAGACAACTTTTAAGAGTTCCCCATTGCTCAACAAACTTTCTGCTCAACTCTCTGTCAATAAGATGTATCAAAACTTTCAATAATGTATGTAAATCAACCAATGATCTTGATGTATTCAGCTTCTCATTCATCAGGTTCAAACATGGAGTCAAACAAGTTCTGTATAATTAGTCCTTTTTAATTAGTTAAATACAGAATATATTGCCAAATAGTTATAACATTGTCAAACCTTGTACTGTTAGTTACTAAGCACAAATACTTATCTTAAGCATTCTATAACTATAGGAAACATACCCAATACTATAATATGATAAATTGTATGTTCGTTCTGTTGAATAGACCAGGAAAGAATTG